TATATATATATATATATTCGGCCGTGCTCCGCAGTTTGTCGGGAGCCCCGGGTGGGCTCCTCCGGCTGCTCTCCGTCGAGGGCGTTCCCGGGGGTATACCCAGACCCTCCCCCAACGGAGACCCGAGGGCCGAGCGCTGTGATTCGAAAGCCAACCACAGGGAAGGCATACGTAGGCTCACGGGGGGGCCGCCTCGACCCCCAGTCGCCCCCGAGCCCTCCCGCCCAGGGACGTGCGGGTGCGCTATCGGCGCGACCTATCGCCGATCTATCCGCGAAGTGGCGCCGATTCCAGGTCGGTGCTGCCTCCCCCTGGGACGGCCCCCCCCCCCCGTCCTTGCCCCCCAACGGGAGGAGGAGAGACTGGACGAGCGAGGGTCGAGGTTGGGACGGGTGCTCGAACGTTTGCGTTGGCTGCACGGCCACCAGACGCCCGAGTTTGGACCCGAAAGTGACGTGGTTTGTCCCGTATCCGAAGTATGGATGTCTTGTGACTTCCGGCCCAGTCTCAGAGGAGGAAAAGGTACCCAGACCTCTACCCTTCCCTCGTTTCCCCCTTTTTGGGCCACCTGGGAGGCCCTCGTCGCCACCGCTGGATTCGCCTCGAAATCCTGGCCAGAACGCACCCCCGGAGAGGCCCGGGGAGTGGCGGTATCGGTACCTTTTGGCTTTCCCATAGTTTGTGCCGGAGGCCCCCAAACCTTGTGGTGACACATTGCGTGGTGAGTCCGCGGGGATTCGGGATCACCGCACGGTTTTTGGGGCTCGGGTCGTTCTCCGAGGACGTCTCGGGCGACCGGGGCTTGCGAGGTCCCAAGACCATGGCCTTCGATGGCCTCGGAATTTCGTCTCTAGAGGGCACTAGCGTGCGCCAGCGTTTGGTAGTCAGTGAGAACGCAGCGTACTAGCGTCGATTAGCCTCGAGTTAGCGTCGATTGGCGTTGGTTAGCGTCGGATAGCGTCGGCTAGCGCTGATTTCGCAAGAGCTAGCAGGATGGCAAGGGGGGCTCCCGTGGGTTGCCACCGAACGTGCTGGCCTCGGCGCGTGACCACCCCCAACGCTGGCGCAGGCATCCCGCCTTCCCAGCCGCAACCTGCGTGTGAAGCTTGACTGAGCGACAGAAGACAACCAAGGGCGCCCTCGAGGGCGCGAAGTTATTCGCGCTTCGCGCTTCGCGGTTCGGCTCCGATTCCTCCTCGTCCTCCTCTTCTCCCCTGGGAGGCGGCGCGAGAGGGCGAAGTTATTCGCACTTCGCGCTTCGCGCAGCGCGAAGCGCGAAGTTGGGAGCCCTTAACAACGGGATCGACTGCGCCGACATTCACGCGTAGGCTGCCCGCGTAAGGTCGCGCGTAAGCGCCCTCGTCTCCTGTGCAGCGTGCTGCGTTGGCGGACCGCGGGAGCCACCGCAGAAGGCCGCCTTACCGTGCGTCAGATCCGTCGCTCTTCGTCGCTCCATTGGCGTGATGGCGCGATGGTCCTTCTCATGCAGAACCACGCCTCGGGCGGACGAGGGCTGATGATGCTGCTGCTGATGCTGATGCTGATGCTGATGCTGCTGATGCTGATGGTGATGATGATGATGATGATGATGATGATGCTGATGATGATGATGATGATGATGATGATGATGATGATGATGATGCTGATGATGATGATGATGATGATGATGATGATGATGATGATGATGATGATGATGGTGGCGCTGACGACTAGGGCTACGACAATGACGATGACGATGAGGATGGCGTTGGTGACGATGGTGGGGATAACGACGACGAATGTTGTATGGAGATGATGGTGATGGCGGTAACAAAAATGATGTTACTGCAGCTGCTGCTGCTGAGGACGACAACGACGATGATGGTGATGATGATGGGCACGGATGGCTTTCGCCGGGGTTGGCTTTCGCCGGGCTTCGTTTCGCCGGGCGTCGTTCCGCCGGGCTTCGTTTCGCCGGGGTTGGCTTTCGCCCGGGTTGGCCTTCGCTGGGGTTGGCTTTCGGAGGGGGTTGGCTTTCGCCGGGGTTGGCTTTCGCCGGGGTTGGCTTTCGCCGGGGTTGGCTTTCGCCGGGCGCCGCTTGAGTAGGCGAAAGGGTTGCAGAGACGTGGGGGGGTTGTCAAGGAGGTCCCGGGTGCTTCAGAACAGTTGACACATCGCCCCAGGCAGGGAAGCCGCGCGTTTCCGGGCAGGGCGGGGCGCTCCGGCGCCAATCGCATATGAATGGGTGATGGCGTATCCATGTCTCCTGTCCCCTCTTAGCGATTTCTTGTGTCGGACCGCTTCCGGAAACGGCTGGCGGTCGGTGCATGGCGGTGCCAGCTGGTGGGGGGGTTGGCCCGAGACTTCCGACGCCCGGGAAAAACAAAACGGTCAGTTTTTTGGGCCGGGGTCGGCCTCAGGGAGGCCATGACGTCCTTACCTAGGACGCGCCAGGATGAAAGTATGTCCTTGGGAACGACTGCGGACCCCAGGGAGCCGCCGGCGTAAACAAATCCGGGGGTCGGAGGTCAGGGCCGGCAGTCGCCGTGCAGGAGTAGGTGAGTGGGCGGGGGCGCGGCGAGGAAGGAAGGGGCTCGAGACCCTTGTTGCAGGGCGGGCAGCGGGCAGCGCACGGACGGGCAGGGGGCAGCGCCGAGCACAGAAACCCGCCAGGCGGACCCTAAAGGGAGGGTCCGCTCGGGCGGGCGGACCCTAACGGGCGGGACGGGTCGGGTCGGGTCGGGCGGACCCTAACGGGCGGGTCGGGTCGGGCGGGCGGGACACGAAAGTGTGGGGCTCGCTCGAGTGAGCACGCGTGAACCCTAACGGGCGGGTCCGCTCGGGTCGGGCGGATCCTCACGGGCGGGGCGGATCGGGTCGGGTCGAGCAAACCGGAACGGGCGGGTCGGGTCGGGCGGGCGGGACACTAAAGTGTGGAGGCGCGCTCGAGTGAGCACGCGTGACCCTCACGGGCAGGTCGGTTCGGGCGGGCGGATCCTGATTGGCGGAGCGTGTGGTCGGGTTTGGCGGACCCTAACGGGCGGGTCGGGTCGGGCGGGCGGGACACCCAAAACTGCGGGGCGCGCTCGAGTGAGCACGCGTGAGCCCTAGCGTGCGCGGGTCCGATCGGGCGGGCGGACCCCAATGGGCGGGACGGGCCGGGCGGACTCTAACACGTGGGTCTGGTCGGGCGAGCGGACCCTGACGGGCGGGGCGGGTCGGGTTCAGGTCGGGCGGACCCTAACGGGCGGGTCGGGTCGGGCGAGCGGGACACTAAAGTGTGGGGCGCGCTCGAGTGAGCACGCGTGAACCCAAACGGGCGGGTCCGCTCGGGTCGGGCGGACCCTAGCGTGCGGGGCGGATCGGGTCGGTCGAGCAAACCCTAACGGGCGGGTCGGGTCGGGCAGGCGGGACACTAAAGTGTGGAGGTGCCCTCGAGCGAGCACGCGTGAACCCTGACGGGCGGGTCGCGTTGGGCGGGCGGACCCTGACGGGGCGGGTCGGTCGGGTCGGTCGGGTCGGGTCCGGGCGGCGGTCCCTGACGGCGGGACGGTCGGTCGTGACGGCGGACCCCAACGCGGGACGGGATAGGGTCGGCGGACCTACGGGCGGGTCGGTCGGCAGGCGGAACGAAGTGTGGAGCGCGCTCGAGTGAGCACGCGTGAACCCTAACGGGCCGGTCGGTGGGGCAGTGCGGAACCCTGCGGGGCGGCAAGGTCGGGTCGGGTCGGGCGGACCCTAACGGTGGGGTCGGGTCGGGCGGGCGGGACCGTAAAGTGCGGGGCGCGCCCGAGTGAGCACGCGTGAACCCTAACGAGCGTGGTCGGGTCGGGTCGGGCGGACCCTAACGGGCGGGGCGAATCGGGACGGGTCGAGCAAACCTGAACGGGCGGGTCGGGTCGGGCAGGCGGGACTAAAGTGTGGAGGCACGCTCGAGCGAGCACGCGTGAACCCTAATGGGCGGGGCGGGTCGGGCGGGCGGACCCTGACGGGCGGGACGGGTCGGGTCGGGTCGGGCGGACCTTAACAGGCGGGTCGGGTCGGGTCGGGCCGGGCGGACCCTAACGGGCGGGTCGGGTCGGGCGGGCGGACCCTGACGGGCGGGATCTGGTCGGGACGGGCAGACCCTAATGGGCGGGTCGGGTTCGGGTCGGGCGGACCCTAACGGGCGGGTCGGGTCGGGCGGGCGGGACACTAAAGTGTGGAGGCTCGCTCGAGTGAGCACGCGTGAACCCTAACGGGCGGGTCCGCTCGGGTCGGGTGGATCCTAACGGGCGGGGCGGATCGGGTCGGGTCGAGCAAACCGGAACGGGCGGGTCGGGTCGGGCAGGCGGGACATTAAAGTGTGGAGGCGCGCTCGAGTGAGCACGCGTGAACCCCAACGGGCGAGTCGCGTCGGGCGGGCGGACCCTGACGGGCGGGACGGGTCGGGTCGATTCGGGCGGACCCTAACGAACGGGTCGGGTCGGGTCGGACCGGGCGGACCCTAACGGGCGGGTCGGGTCGGGCGGGCGGTCCCTGACGGGCGGGACGGGTCGGGTCGGGCAGGCGAGACACGAAAGTGTGGAGGCGCGCTCGAGTGAGCACGCGTGAAACCTAACGGGCGGGTCGGGTGGGGCAGGCGGACCCTGACGGGCGGGCAGGTCGGGCCGGGTCGGGCGGACCCTAACGGGCGGGTCGGGTCGGGCGGGCGGGACATTAAAGTGCGGGGCGCGCCCGAGTGAGCACGCGTGAACCCTAACGGGCGTCGGGTCGGGCGGGCGGACCCTGACGGGCGGGGCGGGTCGGGTTCGGGTCGGGCGGACCCTAACGGGCGGGTCGGGTCGGGCAGGCGGGACACTAAAGTGTGGAGGCACGTTCCAGTGAGCACGCGTGAACCCTAACGGGCGGGGCGGGTCGGGCGGGCAGACCCTGATGGGCGGGGCGGGTCGGGTCGGGCAGGCGGGACACTAAAGTGTGGAGGCGCGCTCGAGTGAGCACGCGTGAACCGTAACGGGCGGCGGGTCGGGCGGGCGGACCCTGATGGTCGGGGGCGGGTCGGGTCGGGTCGGGCGGACCCTAACGGGCGGGTGGGTCGGGCAGGCGGACTTAATAAAGCTGAGCGCGCGAACTCGGGTCGGGTCGAGCACGGGCGGGTCGGGTCGGGTCGGGCGGACCCGGAACGGGCGGGACGGGTCGGGTCGGGTCGGGCGGGTCGACCCTCACGGGCGGGACGGGCAGGTCGGGTCAGGTGGGCGGGACACTAAAGTGCGGGGGCGCGCTCGAGTGCGCACGCGCGAACCCTAGCGTGCGGGTCCGATCGGGCGGGCGGACCCTAACGGGCGGGGCGGGGCGGGCGGACCCTAACGGGCGGGTTGGGCGGGTTGGGTCGGGCTCCAGCCAGCCGGCCGCGGGCAAGAGAAGCCAGAGGAAGACGGGAGAAAGAGGAGCAGCAGCAGCGGCAGCATGAAAGAACAGGAGCGGGAAGAGGAGAAGAGGGAGAGGAGGGCGAAAACGAGCCCAGGCGAAAACGAGCCCAGGCGACAGCCAACCCGGGCGAAAGCCAACCAGGCGAAAGCCAACCTGGGCGAAAACCAACCAGGCGAAAGCCAACCCTGGCGAAAGCCAGCCGGGCGGAAGCCAACCGGGCGAAAGCCAACCCGGGCGAAAGTCAACCCGGGCGAAAGCCAACCTGGGCGAAAACCAACCCAGGCGAAAGCCAACCCGGGCGAAAGCCAACCCGGGCGAAAATCAACCCGGGCGAAAGCCAACCGGGCGAAAGCAAACCCGGGCGAGAAACATCTACGCCATGATGATGATGATGATGATGATGATGATGATGATGCTGATGATGCTGATGCTGATGCTGATGCTGATGCTGATGCTGATGCTGATGCTGATGCTGATGCTGATGATGCTGATGCTGATGCTGATGCTGATGCTGATGCTGATGCTGATGCTGATGCTGATGCTGATGCTGATGCTGATGCTGATGCTGATGCTGATGCTGATGATGATGATGATGATGAGGATGCTGATGATGATGATGATGATGATGAGGAGGAGGAGGAGGAGGATGATGATGATGCGCAAGGCGACGACACGCCGAAGACGCCAACGATGACGATGACAATGGTGACTGATGAACATGATGATTACGGTGGCAAGGACGACGCTGGCGATGATGACAATGATGGTGTTGTTGAAGTTGATGGAGATGAGCGCGCGCAGGCAGCGATTCAGAAATCCTAGAAGCAGACTTGGTATCGGAAAGCTATTGGGCTTTCAGTTCTTTTTGAACCGCTCTGTGCTGGGATGCTTGAACTACCAATGGCGTGGGGCTGGACTGTGGAAGATGCGCGTGTGGAGAAGGGCGCGTGTGGACTGTATCATGTGAAGTGTCGGGGTGTTTCAAGGATTGCTGCCAACGCTTTCTGTGACGGCGCGGATGGAGGTGGGTCGTAATCCCCACGACGACCGTGGTCGCCGAAGCCGTCAAATAACGACGACGTCATCGTCGCCGTCGTCATCAAGGTCGTCGTCCTCACCCTGGCCCTCGTTCTCGCCGGTCGTCGCTCGCCGTCGCCCGCCGTGGGCGGCGATTGGGGGGGGGGATTCGCCACAGCTGGTGGTGGTCGGGGGCGGAAAAGAGGGGGGTGATGACTAGGGGGGGGATATCAGGCGGGGGCCATGATATCTCCCCAGATTTTATGGCGCCTCTTCTTGTTTCAGTACGTCCCCAGGCCCCCCCCCCTGGGCCGCGCAAATGCCGCCGGCCATGATTTGCGCGCCCCCCCTTGGGCGCCCCCTTCTTGGCCGCCCCCGAGGGGGGGGGGGGTCGTCGACTGTTCTCAGGGCCAGGCAGGGCCCGGCGTGTCGTGGGGCGCTCCCGCGGGCAGGGAAGAGCGCCCGCGGATGACGCGCCGCCTCCGAGAGAGCGCCGCCGCGGGAGGCCGCCGGCGAGGAGGGCGAGGAGGCGAAGCCGAAGACCGTGCTGCTGTCCCCGCACGCGGTGCCCCGCTCCCCTCTTGGCATCGTTCGGACGTGTGCCCTTTCTCTTTCGGCGAGGGCCATCGAGGAGCATCCTTGCTCATTTGGCGAAAAAGCCACGCACGAAACCGAAAAAAAGCACAGGGAATGGACGTCCGAGCGGTGGCCCGCTCCCCTCTGCAGAGCCCCGAAGCATCAGGGGCAGCTCTGGTCGGGGCCAGCTCGGGCTCGTTCTTCGGTATATCATGGGCCCGAGCTCCCCCGGGCCCGAGCTGCCCCGGATGATTCGGGCGCCCAGGGCCCCAAAGCATCAGGGGTAACTCGGGTCATGGCCAACTCGGGTTCGTTTTTTCGGGAATCCAAACCCGAGTTACCCCGGATAACTCGGGCGCCCAATGCCTCTTTCAAGAGTACGCATTGCCCGAATGTTCGTATCACGCGGCCAGACTCGCGGATCGAGGGGCCGCGTTCATGTACATAGTTGGGCGCGTACGTCCTTTGTGGGCTCCTTACCCGAGGGGGGAGAAGGGAGGATGGACGAGGAAGCGCTCTCTGAACCACTCGCACGCGCGCCCGCCCGCAACGTGAAAGGAGAAGTGGGAGCGGGAGGTGGAGGAGGAGGACGACGAAAGGCAGAGGGGGATGAGGAGGTCACGGAGGATGAGGGAAGGAGGAGGGGTACGAGGAGGAGGATGAGGAGGAGGACGCGCATACACACATACATACATAAATGCATGCATGCATGCATGCATGCATACATACATACATACATGCATGCATGCATGCATGCATGCATGCATAAAAGCATACACATGTACATACGTAGACATATACATGCACATGCATACATGTATACATGCATGCATGCAATCATATTAACATACATACATACATACCTATACACGTAGACGTGCATGCATACACATGCATGCACGCATGCTTGCATTGCATACACGCACGCATACATACATACAAGCATACATACATACTGACATACCTACCTACATACAAATCTACGCGCACGTACGTGCGTACATACAGTCGTACAACCATACATACAGACCTAAAGACATGCATACACGCATGCATACATACAGCCACACAAACATGCACACATACATACACACATGCACACATACATATATATATATATATATATATATATATATATATACCTGCATACATGTACATCCATACATACACATCCATACATATCACATACAATCATACATGCATGCATTCATACACACATACATACATACATACATACATCAATTCGTCCAGACATACATACATAAGGACATCCATGCGTACGTACGTGCGTGCACACATACCTATAACATGGTATATTGTTATGTAACTAGAATGTGTGCATGCATGCATACATGCACACATACATACACACATACACACATACATTTACACAAACACACGTACACACGTGCCTGCATACATACATACACACATGCATGCATGCATGCATGCATACTGCATACATACATACACATATTTGCATATACATATATATATATATATATGTATACATACATACATATATATATATATATATATAGATGTGTGTGAGGGGGTCCCTGGGCTCTGGGGAGCACTGATTTGTGTATGGCCGTTTGGGGCCCGTCGGGAGCGCCAAAACGCGTCGAAGGAGGGGAACAGGGGCGACGAGAGGGCCCAAGAGACGCCCAAGAGGGCTCCAAGATGGCCCAAAAGCGCTCCAAGAGAGCCCAAGAGCGTTCCAAGATGGTCCGACATGACTTCAAGGCAACCCAGGAGGGCCTCAAGACGGCCCAGAGGCTCCCAGAAGGAGTCTCACGGGGCCCTCGTCGTCGTTGTTGTCGTCGTCGTCGTCGTCGTCGTCGTGGCCCTCCGGTTCGGCCGGCCCGCGCGCCAGTTCGGCGTGGCCGGACGAGGAGGAGGAGGGAGCAGGATGGGGAGGAGGAGGAAGCGGAGGAGGAGGAGGGCCTAGGACAGAGTCCTACCCTGGCTACCCCAGGGCCCAGGGTGGGGCCCAGGGTAGCCTGCGCCCCCTGGTCTGTACCTCCCCAGGGCGTGAACTGGGCCACGAGCTCCAGAGGCTCAAGCGGTTTCTCAGAGGTCCCCTCGAGGCCCACCCATGTGAATAACCGAAGACAAAACTTACTTCGAAGCCCTCGCCTTTCCGCTTCCGACTTCGAGGAGTGCTTCCCAGAACTTGGGAAAAGGAAACGGAGCGGGAACAGGAGGAGGAACAGGAGGATATCAAGGAGAGGATGGACGTCGTCGTCATTGTCAACGTTCACGGTCGACGTTGCCATCGTCTGAGATCGCGCCTGCAATCGGGGGAGTCTGCGCTACACCCAAACGCGCGCGAAGCGAGCGTGCGGTTCTTGTCTATGTATATACACATACAAGTTCATCGTGGGTTCGATACTGAAATGAATCGTGATACCGATAATGATGACGATCGATAGATGGTGTGAGCGATCGTGAGATCGAAGGTCAGATCGGCTGTGAGAGCGATAGGCATTCAGTTAGACAGATGAACCGTGATACTGGCTTGTCGGTATTGCTGGTGATCCTCAGGACACGTGGTAGCCCAAGCGTGTGTTTACCCCGTTCGATTCAGCCGACAGCGCGCAGCCTGTGTCGGCTCTCGTTGCGCCACTTACGTTGTGCGGAAGGTCCTCGACGGACAAACACACGTTGGCGCTAACACATTTTCTGAGGACCGTCGATATTTATATCAATAGTGGTAGAGTTCATGACACCAACAGTGAGATAGTGAGATGGATGGAAAGATGATTCAACAGTGAAGTTGGTCGATAGTGAGGTCGATCGATTAATCGTGATATCGATAACAGATAAAATGAGGCCGAACGATCTTGTGACAGACAGAGGTTGTTCGACGGATGGAGACGGCTGTCGATTCCCCCCTAAACCTCCTTATCGGCTTTTGGTTGCATTAACAAGTATGGATACAGTTTGGTCCCAGGATGCACGAATATGTCCATATCCACAGCCCGCCGAGGTCCCTGAAGACCATCCCCCAGGCGGTGGCTATGGACGAATTCCCGCCTCGGACTTTCCTCTCCAATCCCCTCTCCGTGGGACCCCGCAAGTAATCGGTCCACTGCAGGATGACCCCCCCTCGAATGACGAGCGCCCGCACACCCCCTCATTCCGTGGCAGGCCTACAGACATGCCGGGACGTTCTGTCCATGCCCATTTCTCGTCCCAATTCCCCTCACGAGTCCCCGCAAGCGGTCGGTCGGTTGTGGGAAGCGCCCGCCCTCCCCTGAATGACCTGCGCCCGCCAGCATCTCAAGGCCCCCGCCCCGTCGTCGTCGTCGCTGCCGCCTCCGCTTCCGCCTCCTCCTCCGCCGCCGCCGCCGCCTCCGCCTCCTCCCTCCTCCTCCTCTCCTCCTCCTCTCCTCCTCCTCCTCCTCCTCCTCCTCCTCCTCCTCCTCCTCTCCTCCTCCTCATCCTCCCTCCTCCTCCTCTCCTCCTCCTCTCCTCCGCCTCCGCCTCGGCTTCCGCCTCCGCCTCCGCCTCCGCCTCCGCCTCCTCCTCCGCCGCCGCCTCCGCCTCCGCCTCCTCCTCCTCCTCCCCCCCCTCAGGGCTACTGGGGCCGCGGGATCAAGGCGCGCATCCTCGAGGAGACGTCGGGGGAGCGCCCCGCCCAGACGGCCACCGTGTCCGCGGCGAGGGCGGCACCCGCGGCCCTGCCGGAGGCGCACCCCGGGGAGGCGCGCCCGGCTCGGGCGCACCCTCCCTCCCCTCCTCCTCCCCCCTCCTCCTCCTCCTCCTCCTCCTCCTCCTCCTCCTTCCTCCCTCCTCCTCCTCCTCCTCCTCCTCCTCCTCCTCCTCCTCCTCCTCCTCCTCCTCCTCCTCCTCCTCCTCCTCCTCCTCCTCCTCCTCCTCCTCCCCGAGGGGGCCCCTCCCGTAGGGGAGGGGTCGGGACCCCAGGGTCCTCCTGGCGCAGGCGGGGAGCGCCGGGCCCGAGGGGCGAAAATCCCCCGCACCCCGGGGGACGCCGCCAAAGTGCGGTTTCCTTCCCCCGGGGGGGTCGCCAGGCCCCGTGTGCTTCCCCAGGGCGGTGCTGGGTCCCCCCCTGCACTCGCCGCCCTGGGGCGGGGCTGGCGGCTCGTCTCCGTCGTGTCGCTCGTCCGTCTCGTGTCGTTCGTGTCGCGTCGTTCGTTTCGTCCCCCTGTCGTGTCGCGTCGTGTCGTGGTCCCGGGGCCGTAAAACGCGGCCACCCATGGAGTGGGTGGTGGGTAGGGTTGGCGCTGAGCACGGCTCGCGCCCCCTACCCCGACCAGGGAGCGCGGAGCACGGTCTCCCAGCGCTCCTTGGTCGCGCTTAGGTCGCGCCACGGGGGCATGGCCCCGACGGTGGCGCGACCTGCGCCGTTTTTGGTGCATCTCGCTGGCACTCGCCACGCCAGCGGAGTCATGTGGCTGTTCATGGGTCGACCATAAAAAAAAAAAAAAAAAAAAAAAAAAATCCTCCTCCTCCTCCTCCTCCTCCTCCTCCTCCTCCTCTTCCTCCCGGCTCGGGACGGCGGTTGGCCTGCGGAGGGCCCCCTCGCCGCCGCGGCTGGACGCCGCTCGGAGCACCGGCGCGTCAGGATTCCAGGAGGGATCCGACGACCGATCAGCGACAACAAGTGATTGCATGTTCTGCATCCTCTCAACAAGTATGCGCTTGTCGGCGCCTTCTTTCAACTATAGTGTTTTTTCTTCTTTACTGCTTCGAGGACATCAGACATCCTGTTGCAGTCAGAGCCGGCGACGACCGACTCCGAGTTGTGGCCGTCGGAGGCCCGAGTTGTGGCCCGAGAGCCGGACGGCCCATGGATGACTGCAACGGGCCCCGAGGAAAGCGCATCCCACGGTGGATCGCCGTTGTCGGTGGGGCCAGCGCGCGGAAAAGCAAAGAACACGTGTGATGAGACCAGAGGGCGCCACAGTCACAAAACACGGCTGTCTGGACTGAGACAATTGTTGTCGTACGCTCAACAATACAGGAAGCGCAACGGCAAAGTTTGAAGATGTTGGATACGTTGCGAAACAAGGAACACAATGTTGGGAAACGTCCGGGCTCGCCCAGGAAGTTCATCCCTGAAAATACGAATGTCTTTCGGGGAACTTTGAAAACAGGTTGAACAAATAGTTCCCTCCCTGGGGTGGTCTGTGCTAGACCTTCATCCAACTGCTTTCCGAACTTTCTCAAATCTTCTGCTGTGCAGGCCTTGCGGCTGGCGCCGCCGACCCAGAAGGACGACCACGACGACGGCCACGACGACAACGACAACGACGAGCTGATGGCCCTGCTATAAGCTCGGGACATGGGGCCGGCAGCGGAGGGAGGAGGAGGAGGAAGAGGAAGTGGAGGAGGAGGAAGAGGAGGGCGAGGGGGAGGAGGAAGGGGGGGGGAGGAGGAGGAGGAGGAGTATGAAGAGGAGGAAGAGGAGGAGGAGGAGGAGGGAAAGGTGGAGAAGGAGGAGGAGGAGGTGAGGAGCTTTAACCGTGGAAGGCGCATACATACTGGACTGGCCCGCGGCCGAACCCTAGGCTCGCTTACAGCCTATTGTGCGCCGCGTCCCATCTGTCTCTCGCCCTCTTTTGCCAGCTACGGGGGACGGGAAGCGGGAGCCCTCTCGGCATCGGCCTGCCAGGTCACGCAGGACTCACGATCGTCTCCTCCTGAGTTTAGACGAGGCGAGAAATACAGCTGAGAAGAGACTTGCGTCACATCATAGTTCCGAGTCAGGTATTGCTGGCAGAGAGTGGAGTTGTTCATGTGGGCAGGAGGCCTCTTTCTATTCTAGGTGGTGCGACGCTTATAGGCTCAAGTGGCAAGGGCAGCAGTCTGTGTCGGGCTCAAGAGTGCCCCCGTGGAGGAGAGGTGGCTTTCGCGGCCCTCCCGCCGCCAGGGATCGCAGTCGGGGTGCGCTCGACAGCGAGATCCAGAAACTGATCACGGCGACTCTGCCGACAACACCAGCCCAGGCCAAGCAGCACCCTTAGCTCGTGCCGCCGCTGAGCGACACGACGACGCACAACACGGATCGGCAAAAGGCTCGGGAGCGATTGTACAATCTGGCTCACCTCGCCATCTCGGCGTGCCAGCTGGGCGAGGACGACGAGGACGCGCTGTACGACGGGGCGGTGGTGAAATGTTCGCTGATGTTGCTGCAGTTTGCTCACAAGAGGTTTGCAGACACTCGCCAGACAAGGAGTCAGGCCAAAGAGCGCTTGGAGGAGATTCCGAGGGCGCATCAAGCTCCTTCAGGCGCAACAGGTTTCAGCAAAGAACAACGTCCAGCAGTTGGAGGCGGAGCAGCAGGTCGAAGAGGAATATTGGCCCGACGAGGCCGAGATGGATCCATGCATGGCCGACGCGCTGTCGTGCAGTTGGGGGTCTTCTACCTCCTGTGGCAGCAACAGATGGTGCAGCAGGTCCAGGCCCAGCAGATGATGATGATGATGATGATGATGATGATGATGATGATGATGATGATGATGCTGAAACTGATGCCGATGCTGATGATGCTGATGCTGATGATGCTGATGCTGATGCTGATGATGATGCTGATGATGGTGCTGATGATGATTGCAACATATGGTGCAGCAGTTCCAGGCCCAGCAGAAGATGATGAGGAGGATGATGATGATGCTGATGCTGAAGCTGAAGATGCTGATGAAGATGCTGATGATGATGATGATGATGATGATGATGAAAATGATGATGATGATGATGATGATGATGATGATGATGATGATGATGATGATGATGATGATGATGATAATGATGATTATGCTGATGGTGATGATGATGATGATGATGATGATGGTAAGGATGGTGATGCTGATGATGATGCTGATGCTGCTGATGATGATAAGTATGAGTATGATGATGATGGTGATGATGACGATTACAGCAGCAACAGCAGCAGGACTTCGAGATGTGCCAGTGCATGGCGGGCGTGGGGTTGACTCCCATGCCAGGTGGCGGGCTCGGGCCCATGGGGTTTACGGTGCCATTTAGGGGGCCCGAGCCACCGCTACATCCAGACAGTCTTGCGCCATGCCCACCACCCACCCCGCCTCCGCTGCCAGCGCCCGACTATTCGGCGACGGCCAAGATCGCGGGCAAACACAAGAGCAAGATGGCTGGGACGGGCGAGCCCTATCCCACCACGCTTACGGCGCCCGCGGGTCGGCCTGCGCCGGCATGGGGTGTTGGGGCAGCGGCAGCCGCGGCGCCAGCTGGGGCACCACCAGCGGTCGCTTGGAAGACAATAGATGGTCTCAGCTAGCCAACGCAGATGTCCTCAGACACGCAGCGTGTGAGGAACCAGCTCGTTTCCTCTTGATCACGCAGGGCGCGAGGTCTATGGGGGAGCAGCACGCGGCCATGGCGGCGGCCGATGCGTCGGCGTTGGCGGCTGGGGCGGCGGCAGCATCGGCGGCTGGCGGGGCGTAGGCGGCGGCACCCGCGGAGGGCGCCTCGGCGGCGGCCGGCGCCCTCGGGGCCAGGGGCAGGATGGCCGCGGCAGCGGCGACGCCGACGCCCGGCGATGCGGGGCCACCCCCTCGCCCACTTTGCCCGCGGAGCTGCGGCGAGGCCGAGGGCGCCAAAGGTTCGCGCGCCCAGCGCCAGGGCGCGCAAGTTTCAGCGCGTGGACCACGACTTGGGCGGGAGCACGCAGGTATGAAGGCTGCCTCTGTCGCGGGCTGCTGAGAGAACCCCCAGTTAATTCAAAGCGGTTTTCAGGATGTACGCGATGCGCGCACGCCTTCGGTTTCTGTTCCAGCGTCGTCGTGACAGTTGCGTTGTGCCCCAGGGGGCAGCGCGGCGATGGGGCCTGACGCGCCTCCGCCCCGAGCCCAGCGGCTCTTTCGGAACCTCGCAGGCAGACTAAGGCTCTGACTAGCAGTAAGTGCAGCGAGGAAGGCCGCTTCAGCGATTCACCGCGGTAGCTTCGACATTCAAACCAAGTATCATTCAGCAAGCCATCGTGCACATGAGCCCAATGCCAATTCAGTCATTCCTAACGATTTCATCGCCATCTTTGCATCCCCTGCCATTTCACTCCAAATGAGGGTTGGCGGGGTCTGCGGACACGATTTGCATCCGAAGTGTGTTTTTGTCAAGTAAAAAAGCGCTTGCGCGCGCGTTGCCAGCCTCACCTTCTCGGCCAGCTATAGAATGCGCACGTATACTAACATATATCGCTGATCCGACATCCAGCCAAGGCTAGAAGCGCATCGTCCACGCGCCTTGAATGATTGACAGCTCCCCCTGAGCAAGAGGAACACGAACACGATGAACAAGAACATCAAAAACCGATTACCTTACGAAGCCCCTTCTTGATCTCATGATGAATTGGCAAAGCACCGGTATGAGCCGAAAGTTCTGCCGCGAGACCGGGGGTTTGCGCCTCCCGGCTCAAACCACGGCGCACGCGGCATTCTTGAACAATGCCACGTTTCAAGGGGCGAGCAAGATCGTCGTTGGGCCCCTGGTTGCGTCAGGCGCCACGACCCATGTTCTTCGCTATGCTTGCGTGGATTTCCCGCTGTCGGCGGAAGGCTCCCCAGCGGAAGACGAGCGGGCGCGGGGCAGGCCGGCGACGGCGCTGATTGCCGCGGCTGAAGTAATTGGGGCGCGGCACCCCTACCATCTTGCGCAGAGCAGTCTTGCGCGATCTCGTCTGGCGCGGAGGATGGGCCAGGCGAGAACCCCGACCGTATCGCAATCTCGCCCGACGAAGAGAGATGGGCGGCAAGTCGACGCCACGCCGACGCGTGAACGCGACTGGCGGCTCTGTCCCAGGGGGCGACCCCGAGGCCAACTGCCCCGGGTGTTCCATGTCGGCTCGGGAGCTGTCGCCGTCGTCGGTGCCCGCGGGCGATGGGCATGTTCAGCCGCGGAGCGACTCGTGCGGCGAGGCGCCTGATCCGCGGGCCCCTGCGGCCAAGCAGCCGATGGGGGGCCCTTCAGCCCATCGACGTGGCATCCGCTAGTCAAGCAGGGCAGGACAGACGGCATCCACGAGGTGACCCATGGACTCGCTCCGGGGGGTTACCCGGGGGGCTGTATCCCAGGGGCCCCGTTTCCCCCGGCCGCCCCGTTGAGAGCGGAGCGTGTCGGGCGATGCCGCCCTGGCCCCCAGTGCCCGCGCGCGCTCTCCGAGAACCAAGGGCGCAGGGCCCGAGAGATGGGGGCGCCCGCGGGCCCCGTCCAGCGCGCCCTCCCCCTCGGCCCGCACGGCGCGCTCCAACGCGCAAAGATGCCGCATCAATGGTACGCGTGCCAATAAAGGGCCCCGATTGCGCAGAGATTCCTGAACAGCGAGGTCCAGAGGGTCGGGGCAACTGCAAGAAGGCGGTTTGCGGGGCATGCTCGTCTCGTCCAGCTGCTCACTCTGCAACGCTTTCCGCATGCGCCCCGACTGCCCACCGCCCCTCGCGCATAATTGTTTGCCCCTAGAGTGGGGGCGAGAGGCGACGATAGAGGGGCGGAATCGGGAGATGGCTCAAATGAGAGAGCAGACGCCGGCATCGGAGCTGCAGCAGAGGGTTGCGGCTCGGGCCCAGGCGTAGCGTGATCGCATGGAAATGGATCCCCGCTGCCCCCTTGCCATCAGCTGGGAAGCTGGCGGTTTTCGTCATCGGGCCATCATGCAATAGAATCAAGCCGGTTCTGCACCCCCCTCTGTGCCGAGACCTGGTCGGACGGGGCCAGGACGAGAAATCCGCCACAGGGCGTTCCAGAACGCTCTCAGAGCGTTCCGGAACGCTCTGAGAGGGCCTCGGCGCCCGAGACGTTTTCCAGAGCCGCCGGACTTTGCAGATTCTCGATTTATCCTCTCCCGAATGTTATCGTAGTCCTGGCGTCGTCGCAGAGGTGGACGACAATTGTGGGCGACGATCAATGGATAGGAAGCATGTTGCCAAATAACTTCCACATGGTCAGCGACGATTCAGCACATGTGTTTTGAACGTGTAAACACATGAGTCGAACATTCAAAAAACATGTTCCAGACATTGCAGCACATGTTTAATCAATGATGCGGTTGTTCGTGTGTCGATCGTCATGGCGCCCACAAGACGAGCAAACGCGGAGGAGAAAGGGCGGGCGGTAACGGCGGGCATGCACGCCCGAGCCCTAGCAGCGGCCCCCGCTCGCTCTCTGGCGCCTCCCCCCCGCCGTGCCCTCGGCTGCTCGACGAGCTCTAGGGCGCGTGTCAGCCCGATGTGCGCCAAGAGATCCAGCGCGCTACCAAAATCGGTGGTCTCCAAACCAGGTGGTGAGACACCCGGTGGTGACCCCGATTCCCCAAAACAGTAATTCTGGGTCACCACCGGGTTTGGGGACACGCGGTCGCCACGAGGTTTTCCTGAGCCAGCCAGCGCTCGAAAACCATTACCCAAATCGCCCAAAACTCACCACCAGGTGTTCTCACCACCACGTTTGGGGACCACTAACCAAAAAAACGGAGGTTGATTAACGTTTCCTTATTATCGAAGAGTTAAAAAAACACGCCACAAACATGACTTTGTGGCGCTCCATGCCGGGTTATTTTGGATCCGCGCTGGGCCCCCTCGGCGCCGGCGCGCTCCGCGCGCCAGGGAGGGGGTCCCAGCGCAAATCCAAGAAATTCGCGCGGACCGTCGAAAGTTTACGTTTATGTGTTTCTGGTGTTCTTTTGGCGTTACAAAAACCAAAGCGGAGGTGTATAAACGTTTGTGTTATTCATTTGGGGGAATTGTGTCGCTTAACCAGGATGACGAAGTCTTGCAATCCATCCAGCTCCAGTCAGGCGCCCTACGGCTGTGCTTGCTGGTCTGCGCTGTGCCAAGAGAAAGGCGACGGTGACGCACTGCCTTTGCCTCCTGCTGCTCCTCGTCCTTTTCCTCGCCCACCTCGCACCGCCTCACGTTGATTGGATGGAGGTGGGGGGAGGAGGGCGATCGGCGCAGGCCCTCACACCCCCTCCCCCTGTCTCGTGGAGTAGTAGATCTTGACGGTTTTATGGCGTTTGTCTCAAGCAGGTGGAGTCTACCCTACAGGACGCACAAAGCAGAGGTCAAGAGCTAAACAACCCCTTTCGCTCTCTCCCCCCCGTTTCGCTCAATGTCGAAGCGCCGAATTAGGAAGCGTTCACCAGGGCGCATGTCAGCCCGATGCGCGCCGAGTGATCCAACGCATTGAAAAACAATACAGAGGTTTGTCGTGATGTTCGGCCTCAAGAGGCCTTCGCTGGGCCCCAGGACCGTAAACCATCGCCTCAGGATGAACGAAAGTTGGCCCCCGGGGAGTGGGTCGAGACCTCCTGAGACCGATTACCCCGTTCTAGAAGAACAGACAACGGCATGATCATAGTTTCTTGGAGGTCCGCGCGGATTCCTTGGATCGGCGCTGGGCCCCCTGGCGCGCTCCGCACGCCAACGAAGTATCTTCCAGCGCAGATCTACGAGATCCGCGCGGACCTACGAAATTATGACAATGCAGTTTTTTTGTTGTCCTAGTTCGGCTGTGGCGGCCATCGTCAAACCGCCCGTCGTTGTATTGAAGGTCGTCGGTGCGCGCGACGACGACGAGGTTGACGACGACCACGAGGACGACGACGACGACGACGACGGGCGACGACGACGACGACGACGACGACGACGACGACGACGACGACGACGGGCGACGGGCGACGACGACGACGACGACGACGACGACGGGCGACGACGACGACGACGACGACGACGACGGGCGACGGCGACGACGACGACGACGACGGTTTTCCTCGTCCGAGGGGCCCGCCAGGCCGCCACGCCTTCGATGCGCGGACCGGTCAAGCCCCCTGCCGTCGCGGCGGTGGGCGCCGCCGGCAACGCCACTGGCGGCAGCGGCGGCGGCGGCGAGGGGCCGGTGCATTCGGTGATGTCCGCGGGGGGCTGCGTGCGGTGGCAAATCGTGGGAGCCTTGCATACCCTCGAGCCCAGACCCCCTCGGGTCATGAATCAAGGGCGCCCTCGAGGGCGCGGAGTTCTTCGCGCTTCGCGCTTCGGCTCCGATCCCTCCCCGTCCTCCTCTCCTCCCCTGGGAGGCGGCGCGAGAGCGCGAAGTGGTTCGCACTTCGCGCTGCGCGCAGCGCGAGAGCGCGAAGTTGGGAGCCCCTGTGAGTGAGCCCTGAGAGTGAGTCGTGGCGGCCGACTTTCGCTCGCCGTGCTCGGCCTCTCGGGGGGGGCCCGGCCCGGGCCTCGGGGCCGTGCAAGGACGGCTCGGCTCGGAGGGAGAAGCTCACCACCCACCAAACCACCCCACCCCAACCCGAAGGCTCAGATTTACCCTCGATTTCTAGTGGGGGGGGGTCCGGAAACATCGAGAAAACACATATGGAACCCATACCCCCCCCAACCCGAAATTCGGGCTTTCGGGTTGGGTTGGGGTGGTCTGGTGGGTAGTCATGAAAGTCGTGACGGCGGGGGTGTCTCGTGCTCGAGCTCCTGCTTCGCAGGCCCGCGGCGCGCGGCGCTCGTCGCCCGTCGGGTGCGCACGTCGCTCCGGGTCTCGCCTGCCGGGCGCACGGCCGTCGGTCGGGGGTCTCGGGCAACTCCGTCTTCAGGGCGCACTGGCGTCGACCAGCATCGGGTAGTCGATGGGATCGCGCCGATTCAGCGCCGAGGGGCGTCGACGAGCGCCGATGTAGCGTCGACGGTCGTCGTCCTGCAAGAGCCAACATGTTGGTATTCGAGGCCCCCATGAGTTGCCACAGAGGGTTGCGGGCAGGTTGATCGCTTTGCATCTTCGGGGGGCCTTTCCTCCGACGAGGGTTCGACGCGGATTCGACGTGTGGTTCATCACAGGTTCGATGCGTTCGGCATTGACTTGAGGCGAATTCGACACGGACGTCTGGCGCGACGGGACGGACGAGGTTAATGCGGGGCAGCGACGGGGCAGGAGGCGGTGGCCACGAGTAGGGAGGAAGGGGGGTCCTTGAGATCTGCGCGCTGCATTTTTTTTGCAACGGGGCGTTTTCGCCCACTGTCGGACTCTGGCGTCGTCACTGGTCGATGTGGCTCGAAAAATGGCGCAGCAAGATCGGATTTGGGGCTCTGGTCGGTACTTTTTTTGATGTTCCAATTTTTCGCGGATCTAAGGGGGGACTCGGTGAGGGCTATAGGCTGCCCTATGGATGCGTGGCCGGCGCAACTCCTCCCTCCCTCGGGCAGCCGCTGCTCGGTGACTGGGCACCTGCGCACCAGGCAGCGTTTGCTCCCGGGAGCCAGTGCCGCGCGCTGGGGGTTTGCGCTGGCACCCATTCGCTGTGTTTCCGGACCGCGGTAAGCCAGAAGGGGGAGGGAGAGGAAGGAGGGGGAGGAGGAGGAGGAGGAGGAGGAGTGGGAAGTGCGAGAGGAGGACGGAGGAGGACGGGGGAGGGCGAACGGTGGCGGAGGAGGAGGAGGAGGAAAAGGAGGAGGAGGAGGAGGAGGAGCAGAAGACGGAGGAGGAGGAGGAGGAGGCGGATGGGAGGAGGAGGAGGAGGAGGAGGAGGAGGAGGAGGAGGAGGTGGAGAATGGGACTATGAGGGGGGAGGGAGAAAGAGGAGGAGGAGGCGGAGGAGTCGGAGGGTAGAAGGAGAGGAGTATTTGGATGGTCGGGGGAGGGGGAGGAGAAGGACGGGGCAGGAGGAGGACGAGGGGTGAGGAGGGAGGAAGGGAGGAGGAGGAGGAGGAGGAGGAGGAGGAGGAGGAGGAGGAGGAGGAGGAGGAGGAGGAGGAGGAGGAGGAGGAGGACGGGCAGGAGGAAGAGAGGAGGAAATCCGAATGAGCCCCAGTCTTCCTCCTCTTCGTCCTTATCCCTCCGTCTGCTCTCTCAGCAGGGGCCCAGGAGTCAGAGTCTCGAGACCGACGTGGGGTGGAATGGTGCTGTCCATAGTTACTCAGCGCGCAAAATCGGGCTCCCTTGTGTTCTCACACAAATGGATTGTCGCAATCGTTCGGCTCAGGCTGATCCGATCAGCAATGGGCGTGCCGGAAACATGAGGGTTGTATTCGCGCGTCTGGCGCATGTACCGGTTTTATGATGAGTAGGCTTGGTCGACATTTGACAATTGCTTGTTTCTCGCATTCAGCACATCAGCATTGAGCGGATGAGGATGGAGGGGAGGAGGAGGAGGAGGAGGAGGAGGAGGAGGAGGAGGAGGAGGCGGAGGAGGCGGAGGAGGAGGAGAGGAGAGGATGGAGGGAGGAGGAGGAGGAGGGGAGGAGGGGGAGGAGGGGGAGGAGGAGGAGGAGGAGGAGGAGGAGGAGAGGGAGGAGGAGGAGGAGGAGGAGGAGGGTGGAAGGAGGAGGAGGCGGAGGAGGAGGAGGAGGAGGAGGAGGAGGAGTGGGAGTGAGGAACGGGCGATGGGGAAGCAGGGGTGACGGAGAAGGAGGCGGGGACAGGTGGTTCATCTCGTATTTCTTCGCCCCTCCCCTTTCAGAACCATCCAGCCAGACCTATATGTGAGCGCGCCCCGACCAGGATCTGGAGGCGAATTTGGCCGTGGTGACAGGAGGCCCACGGGAGGCCAACAAGACTGCACCCCTGCGGCAGAAGACCCTGAACAGCGCGCCACAGGAGAAGGATGGGGGGCCACCTGTCTCGGAGGACCAGCATCCCTCACTCCGGGGCGGCCGCGAGGAGGGGCCACGACAGGAGGCGATGAGGGGCCACGGAAATCGTGGGGGCCCGGCACTGCTCACCGGGCGTTGGAAGAATTCACAAATAATTTGGGCGACAAGTTGCTTGATTGGGGAAAGACGGGACACGCCCCTCTATTCTGATGAGCCGATTTCCCATCACCATTACCATTGGAGAGGGGGGAGGAGAAGGAGGAGGAGGAGGAGGAGGAAGAGGAGGAGGGGGAGGACGACCTCCCCATCCTCCATTCTCCCCCGTCATACACATGGTAGTGGTGGTGGACAATGAAGCCAACATCCTCGTCCCCCCCCTCATCTGCCCAGTCGCTGAGAAGGCGGTGAGGCCCGGCTTGCCTTTGAGGGTCTGTTCCCTTGTCGTCTGCCGCTGCGCGTCTTGCCCCCTCGTTCTGTCGCCTTCCTTTTTCCCCTGCCCCTCGCGTTGTCGTGTGTGCGCTATGGGTCGTCGTTGCGTCCCCCTCGGCCTTTTTCCTTGACCTTCGAAGGAGAAACAACGGCATATACGTAAACTTGTGGAGATCCGCGCGGATCTCTTGGATCGGCCTTGGACCCCCTGGCGGCGCCTGCGGAGCCGTCCCTAGCTCGCTCCGCGCGCCATGGGGGGGGGTCCAACGCCGATCCAAGAAGTCCACGCGGACCTCAGATCATCCGAATTACCGTCTGCTCACTCGTTCCCTCTTCGTCCTCCCCCCCCCTGGACAAGCACACATCTCCCCTCCGCGTCTGCCCAGCACGGGGCGGGGCAGGTCTCTCGTCTCGTCCTTCTTCGGCCGCTTGCTCCACTGAGGGGCGCCCCCCCTGTTGATTGCGGGGTGCTCGCGGTGCTCCCCGCGGAATCCGCGGAGGGCTGCGCGGCGGCGGGAAAAAAAAGAGTAAGGCAGGAGAATGACGAGGAGGGAGGGAAAAAAAACACAGACGCAATTAATCGACGACTCCCTAGAACATGTGGGACCTAGGGGAAAGTGGCGGGGAAGACGAAGACCCAGAAGATACGGGAAAATATTGGGGGATCCTGTTGGGTGTGTGTGTGTGTGCGTGTGGGTGTGTCTGGGTGTGCGTGGGCGTGCGTGGGTGTGTCTGTGGGTGTGCGTGGGTGTGCGTGGGTGTGCGTGGGTGTGCGTGGGTGTGTCTGTGGGTGTGCGTGGGTGAGCGTGGGTGCGCGTGGGTGCGCGTGGGTGCGCGTGGGTGCGCGTGGGTGCACGTGGGTGGGTGCGCGTGGGTGCGTGGGTGCGTGGGTGCGTGGGTGCGTGGGTGCGTGGGTGCGTGGGTGCGTGGTGCGTGGTGCGTGGTGCGTGGTGCGTCGTGCGTCGTGCGTGTGCGTGTGCGTGTGCGTGTGCGAGTGCGTTTGCGAGTGTGCGTGTGTGCGTGTGTGCGTGTGTGCGTGTGTGCGTGTGGTGCGTGTGTGCGTGTGTGCGTGTGTGCGTGGGTGCGTGTGTGCGTGTGTGCGTGCGTGTGTGCGGCGTGTGTGCGTGTGCGTGTGTGCGTGTGTGCGGCGTGTGTGCGGCGTGTGTGCGGCGTGTGTGCGTGTGTGCGTGTGTGCGTGTGTGCGTGCGCGTGTGCGTGCGCGTGTGCGAGTGCGTGTGCGTGTGCGTGTGCGTTTGTGCGTGTGCGAGTGCGTGTGCGTGTGCGTGTGTGTGTGTCTGTGAATTTAAGAATGTGTGAGTGTGTGAGTGTGTGTGTGCGTGGGCGTGTGTGTGCGTGTGTGCGTGTGTGCGTGTGTGCGTGTGTGCGTGTGTGCGTGTGTGCGTGTGTGCGTGGGTGTGCGTGGGTGTGTCTGTGGGTGTGCGTGGGTGAGCGTGGGTGCGCGTGGGTGCGCGTGGGTGCGCGTGGGTGCGCGTGGGTGCGCGTGGGTGGGTGCGCGTGGGTGGGTGCGCGTGGGTGCGTGGGTAGGTGGGTGCGTGGGTGCGTGGGTGCGTGGGTGCGTGGGTGCGTGGGTGCGTGGTGCGTGGTGCGTGGTGCGTGGTGCGTGGTGCGTGGTGCGTCGTGCGTGTGCGTGTGCGTGTGCGTGTGCGAGTGCGTGTGCGTGTGCGTGTGTGCGTGTGTGTGTGCGTGTGCGAGTGCGTGTGTGCGTGTGCGTGTGCGTGTGTGTGCGTGTGCGTGTGAATTTAAGAATGTGTGAGTGTGTGAGTGTGTGTGTGTGTGCGTGGGCGTGTGTGGGCGTGTGTGTGCGTGTGTGCGTGTGTGCGTGTGTGCGTGTGTGCGTGTGTGCGTGTGTGCGTGTGTGCGTGTGTGCGTGTGTGCGTGTGTGCGCGTGTGCGTGTGTGCGCGTGTGCGTGTGTGCGTGTGTGCGTGTGCGCGTGTGCGCGTGGGCGCGTGGGCGCGTGGGCGCGTGTGCGCGTGTGCGCGTGTGCGCGTGTGCGCGTGTGCGCATGTGCGCGTGTGCGCGTGTGCGCGTGTGCGCGTGTGCGCGTGTGCGCGTGTGCGCGCGTGCGCGCGTGGCAGGGGCAGGGGGGGGAGATTCGATGGGCGAGGTTTTCAGACGTTTAGGTCGGTTCCGGCAGTTCTCCAGCTTCTGGGTGCGCTCCAGCAGTTGCGGCACGCCGACAGCGTTCTGGTGGTGCCGCGAATTGTTCCAAGCAGCCTTTGGAGACCCAAGCTATGATACGAAAACCAATGGGGGCTGCTCACGGGGGGACATCGCCCCCCGATCCCCTATTTAAAATCGAGAGGGGCCCAGTGGCCCAGCCCCGCCGGATTCACCATCGGGGGTTTATCGCTGATCCATCGGCGATGTATCTTCCCAGGTCGATTCTTCCACCCCTGAGCCGGTCCCCGTCCCTTGTGGATTCTCTTTTCTAAAAACAGAATAGGATCTACCCCCCCCATGGCGTTATCGGTACCCCTTTCGGATACGTAAATCATATATGATTATGACCACATGTCCATCCTAAAGATGAAATCACATGTCCCAGGCCGGCCGGTATCCCCCCCCCTGAGGTTCCCTTTAAAAAAACTATGTGGTGACATTTTTTAATCTAACAACACTTCTTTCGCGAATCCCTTGCAGAACATGAGACGAAGTGCACACGCGCACGTCGTCGCGCGCGCGTGCCGAAATCCTTCAAAAACCTTCGGTGCCGGAAGGATTTCGCAATCGAGTTTCCCAACAAACATACAAAAACACATAGTTTCACAACACTGATTTGCCAAAACAAACTTCCGCGCGAGCTCTTGCGAACTCTTAAGACAATCATAGGTTTTTCAATATTTTCACAACATGTTACCAAACGGGCTTCGCGCGCGCGCATGTCGAAATCTGTTGAACGCCCTTGCGCGTGTGCCGTCGCGAGAATCCTGTGCCGAAAATGGGACGAAGTGCAGACGCGCGCGTCGTCGCGCGCGTATGCCGAAATCCTTCAGAACCCATCGGTTTCGGAAGGATTTCAAAATCGTGTGCCCCAAAAACCTACAAAAACCCAAGGTTTCGCAGCACGGATTTTCAACAAAAGCGTGCGCGCGCGCTCTTGCGTCGTCGTCGTCTTCCTTCCTCCCTCGTCGTTGTCGTCGTCGGCGTCGCCGTCCTTCCTCCTTCTTCGTCGTTCGCGTCGTCGCCGTCCTCCCTCCTTCTCGTCGTTGTCGTCGTTGTCGTCGTTGTCGCCGTCGTCGTCCTCCCTCCTCCGTCGTCGTCGTCTTCGTTGGCGACGTTGTCGGCGTCGGCGTCGTCGTCGTCGGCGTCGTCGTCGGCGTCGTCGTCGTCGGCGTCGTCGTCGTTGTCATCGTCGTCGTCGTCGTCGTCGGCGTCGTCGTCGTCGGTGTCGTCGTCGTCGTGGTCGCTGTCGTCGTCGAAGTCGTTGGAGACGTCGTCGGTGTCGTCGTCGTCGGTGTCGGCGGCGCCGTCGTCGTCGTGGTCGCTGTCGTCGTCGGCGTCGGGGTCGTGGCCAAGTGCCATCTGGTACCTACCGTCACGGTCTTGTCTTTAAGAGGTCTTGCGATCAAGTTGCCAATGGGAGGTCGGGATGTTTGCGCGAGCAGCGGAGAGGACAGCTTCAAGACGGTCAGAAATTAGTTTCGGACCATAGCTCGGGCCCTCGCGGCCGTTCGGGACGACCCAGGCACCCGTGGACGCGCCTCGGCGAGGCGCAGCGTCCCAAGGCTGGGAAACCGCCGGGAACCAACGAAAACATATGAAAACATCAGCGTTTTTTTTTTCCGGGAGCAGAACATGGCATAAACATGAACTTTGTGAGCTCTCCGCGCGGATTTCTTGGATCGGCGGTGTAGCCTCCTGGCGACGCCTCCAGCGCGACGACGAAGAGCGACGACGACCGCGACCACGACACCAACCACGACCACGACCACGACCACGACCACGACCGACGACGACGACGTCGCCGACGACGACGACGACTGACGACGGACGACGGACGACGACGGACGACGGACGACGGACGATTGACGTTACCCCTCCCCTCGGCGAGCGACCTACCCGGGTGGGCCCCACGCGGAGCCTCTGCCATCGGGGGCCTGCCGGCCGATCTGCCGGCGATTGTTTTTAAAATATGTCGTTCAAGATCCGCCCGCCGTCGGGCGACGAGAGCTATGCACATCCTCGACCCAGGATCGGTGCATATTCGGGGTAGCGTGAGACCCGGGTTTGCCAGGACTCGGGTTCGCCATCGTTTTTTGACGACCGCGACTCGGATTTTGACGAGGAGGAGTTTCGTGGGATGTCTGCAGCGGGAGGCCTCGTCAAAATGCAGGCTCGGCCTCGTCATTTTTTTGACGACCTCGTCGGGGATTTCCGAGTCCCCCGTACCCGGGTCTTACGTCTCCCCGAGAAGAGAGCTATGCACATCTTCGACCCAGGATCGGTGCATATGCCTTCCTGGCCAAGGCAGGAGGGCGTATGCACCGATCCTGGGTCGAGGATGGGCCTCTTCACCACCGCAGTCGTCGTCGTCGTCGTCGCCGCCGTCGTCGTCCTCGTCGTCGTCGTCGTCGTCGGCGTCGTCTTGGTCGTCGTCGTCGTGGTGGTCGTCGTCGTCGTGGTGGTGGTCGTCGTCGTGGTGGTCGTCGTCGTGGTCGTCGAAGCTGTTGGGCGTCTCTTGTGATGACCCCCAGGACGCGTGCTGGCGCCAACGTATCTGTGCAGTGCACGTGCTCTGGCACACACGTTCGAGAACTTCACGCTCTGAGCGTGCTTTCCCTCCTTTCTGCGCGCTCCGCCTCCCCCCTGCGCCTGATGCGCCCAATTCGGCGCCGTTGCATCCCGCGGCTGTCCCCGAACGCGATGAGGACCCTCGCCGCTGCGACTCACAATTTGGCGCCACCGTGCGATTGTCCACCGAAGCCTTTCAATGCGACGCAGGCGGCGCAACGAGGCCCGACACACGCTGGGACAACTCACGTCCTGAGGACCATTGAGCCTCATTGCGGGGCAACGATACTTAGAGGGGAGCTGGCTACTAGGCGTGTTTTGAGGGGCAACGTTCGCGTGAACCCAAGAACTGTGAGAAACCGTTGGTGCCAAAAATGGTAGACGCTTGAGCGGCCCAGGATCGCCAGAGCCACAGTCCAAACAAAAACCAAAACATGGTAATACGATGTAGAAAGAAATTCGTCCCCAAACTGATTTTTACAATTTTTTATACTCCCCCTGTACAGGAACATGCCCGACTTGAGCCTATGCCCCCCAGCGATGCCCCGAAGATGCAGACAGAGGAACAAATGGTCTGGGGTCGACGTTTCGAGTCTCCCGGAGCACTCTTGCGCATGTCCTGACTGCCTTCTTACCCTTCGTCCAACATCCCCCTTGCAGAGGGACATGACCGACTCGAGCTTGTGCC